TTATAATTTCAGTGTTTATGGCTGCCTACTTATACATGACATTCCTAGTTATTAGCTTCCTTGAAAAATATGATCCTGTGATGGGCAAATTGTTGAGTATGAAAGACAGAACAATAACATACCTGAGTTCTGACATGCAGAACTGATGAACTGATTAATGTTCTTTTTAACTCTGTCAGGGATGGAATCATAAAATGTATAAAGAAAGTCAATTTTTCTTTATAATCATGACTACAACCCAAGATATTATTAAAAAGATCAGCTTAACTAGGTGATTGACAATGTAACTATAGATAGCCATCTAGTGAGTATTGCTTGAGTATAAAGAGTCCTTCTGTGGCTTTTTGGAAGTAGATCACTTAGGAACTGTTTGACACATAGAATTTTAAGTACCTTTGGAAATAATGGACTGGACATAGCAAAATAGACCAAGGCTATAATGAAACTGGAATTATGAGTGGACTGTAGATTGATGTCAAAACTAGAATTATAGTGGGTAATCAAGACTTAACACATGTCCATTGTGCTGCTGATAGTCTGACTTTCATCCTGAACAATGCAATGTGTCAGCTACTCCAGAAGTGAGAAGCTTCTCTGGAGTTGTTGAATGTCTTCACAGTTATTTGGCCCAGAGTGAATGATGTCATTCATCTTCCCTATCTGTGATATTTCAGTCCAAAATTTTACTGAAGAAATTGTGTGTGACAAGATGATTAGAACCCTTTGAGACCCCTTCTGCACCCAGTCAAAAATTATTTTACTGAATCCTGTCAGTAAGAAAGACAAAATGTGTTGTTATTGATGCTATGCAACACACAAGCAGTGGATTCTCTGATCAACAGATTGCACAGCCCAAAGAGAAGAGAAGGGAGAAAAGAAGACTAACACTTTGTTTGTTCCATGGCCTGCTCCTCACTAGCTTACTGTGTACCTACAGTACATAGAAAAAAACCTACTATTGCTTCTGTTAAAAATTAAAATACTTGATTGGCTTGTTTAAATTGATATGAGGTTTAGCATGATTGCACTTGTGTATGCAATTGGTATCAGTTTGCATGACATGAGAGGTCCATCTTGCTTTCTTCTACTTTAGTTTCTACATTCTACATTCGAATATATCCTGGAGCCAGGAAGCTGACCTTGAAGAAGGAATATAGAAGCCATTGGGGAAACATGCAGAAGAATGGCACAAGAAGCGTGTTAAATCGCAAAAGGCAAAATAGTGTTATTAAGAGACGCAGATTAGTCCTCAGCCTCCCAACTTTTCAAAGAGGGAAACAAAGAAAGACACCAATAGACTTGCAAAATTCTTTTATTGCAGCCTATCTCAATAAAATATAGTTCTATAATTGTTATTGCCAACATGTCTACTTTGAAAGACTGATAGAAAATGTTCCTGGTATGAAAAAAGCAACTGTTACATAGTACACATACAAGGGCAATTTGGAAATAAACTTCTGTTTGGTTATCAATGACAGACACTGACAGATACAGAACTTTTATTACACACATTAGAAAACTCAACATTACATTACTTTTTGACATAATCACCATTCAAATTGAGACACTTGTCATAATGTCTTACAACATTTGAAATTCCTTAGTAGTAGTCACTCGAAGTCAAATCTGGCCTATAGGGAGATGATCAAAAACATCCCAATGGAACTTATTCAGAAGTTCTTGGGTGCATCTAACAATGTGCAGGCAAGCATTATCATGAACCAACATCACATTGGAATGGTGCCGTAGAAAAGCCTGCCAAATGTGAAGATAGAATAGAATAGAGGTGGAAGGGACCTTGGAGGTCTTCTAGTCCAGCTCTATGCTCAAGCAGGATGGCAAAAGAGGACTGCTAGTGAAGTTCATGGAGTGTGGTTCAACCATCAATTCAGAAGTCTACTGTGAAACGTTACAAAAACTCAGATGAGCCATCCATAACAAGCGGCGGAGCATGCTGATTTCTGGTATGATGTTTGTTCATGATATTGCTGACCTGCACACCACTAGACACACCCAAGAATGTTTGAAGCAGTTCCTTTGGGATGTTTTTGATCACTCCCCCTATAGCCCAGATTTGGCCCCGAGCAACTACTATTAAGGAATTTCAAACCTTGTAAGACGTTATGACAAGTGCCTCAATTTGAATGGCTATGTTAAAAAGTAATGTAATGGTGTAGTTTTCTAATGTGTATAATAAAAGTTCTGTATCTGCGAGTGTCTGTCATTGATAACCAAATGAAGTTTGATTTCTGAATTGCCCTCGTATATGCAGACTGAGAAATATTTCTAAAATTAATAAATCATTGTTTTGAAAATGTTGGGAAAAACATGGAAACAGTTCATCCCAAAAGTATACATATCAGTATTTTGAAACACTCATGCTGTCATTATTAACTTCCAATTGACTGAGACAGTTCAAACCAACCATGACATACTGTAATAAGATCTCAGGAGCATCCCACACATGTTTCTTAACCACCTTGACCCATCTCTAATTTTAGTTTAAGGTGAAACTCTTAGTAGCAGTCTGGATGCCTATTTCTGCTTAAATCATTATTTGATGCTGCAGCTGTTGAGCAGCCAAAATGCCTGACCCAGGTGTAGTGTGTAAACACAGTAGATCAGTTGTCAAACAAATTCTGAACCCAATATTTACTTTTTTATTTAATTGGTATGCAAATGGAGAGACAAGGTAGCATTTGTGCTTGATACAGTTGTCACTTTAAATTCTGGTAACATTCATTATCATGCTTACAGATGTTTTTTCATACCTAACATCTGCCAATACCACCTAGACCCCAGGAAGTCATCAAATGTGTGCAAACTTCTTTTCTGTCTTGCTCTTGCTCTCTGTTATCTGCTCCATGCACACTAATTTTGTGCATCTGAGGCCTCTGTTTGCCAGAATTATGCCTGCTTCCTAACACCTCTGCCCCCAGAGCTTTGGATTTCAAATTGAACAGACACAGAGCCAATTTATCACAGGATGACATATGTCATGTTCATGATATAACCAGAAGGACTGCTCTATACACTATATTTATCCTTTTGTTGTCAGCCTGGATGAAGACCACATAGGTAATAGTTATATTTATAAATCATGGAACATATACTTAACAGATGAAACTATAAATTCTTTCCTGCAAAACACAGAAGTGGACAACTTTGTTAATGCCTAGTGTTAACAAATGCAACAGTATGATCATTATCTTTATGCACTGATAAGAGGTTTGCTGAAACACAAAGCAAAAGGATTCACTACTCTCTATGGGTTGGACAGCATAGCATCCATAGGGTTAAAAAGAATTGCTAACACATTAGTTTTCTCCCAAAATAAAAACAATCAATTTCTTCATTCTCCTATACTTTTCCTGTTCTCTTAACAGTAAACAACCCAGCAGTCAAGAAATATACTATAGATTAGCACTTGGCAGAGCAGCCATGAAAGTTTTTGAAAATACTATATATTTAGATCCATGAGATGTCTAGCTCTACAAAGATTAGAATCATGCAAGCCATCATATTCCCTGTGACCCTCTATGGAAGCAAAAGTTGGACATGGAAGAAATAAATAAGAAAAGCACTGAAGCTTTTGAACATCAGAGAAGTCTTCTGAGAACATTGTGAACAATCAAGAAAACAAATCAGCGGATCATCAAATGAATCAACTCAGAGTTCTCACTTAAGGCAAAAATGATCAGACTCATCTTACTTTGAACATATTATATGAAGATCTATCTCTCTAGATAAGGTTGTAATGCTGGGAAGCCTAACTAGCAGAAGATGATGGCCGACAGCAAGATGGGAGATAAGGATACAGTTGAAAAACCTGAAAGGCCAGGTTAGGGATAGATCATCATAGAGCAAATCTTATCTATGTGGTTTCTAAGAACTGACAATGATTTGATGCCACATCATTCAATTAATTTCATATTCTCTACTATATGTGCAGATGGAAAAGATTTGACACTATTTTTTATGAAGGAATGGTTACTGAAGTTGACAGATTTTGCTGAAATGGATTATTGGTGACTAGTAGCTTCTTATGAACTTTTTGCATAAAAATGAAAACAAATGAACTTGTGATTTATGGTTTTGATTATTAGATAGGATAGGTTATAGAAAGAGTAATATGATATAATCTTAAAAGAAAGAAATTAAAATATATTTACACTTTAAATTGCTGTGAAGAATAAACAAGACCACTCCTTTATATCCCTTTTCTTTGTTTTCTATTTTTCCCTCAACTTTTTTCTTTTCTTTCTTTTCTTTCTTTTTCTTTCATTTCTTTCATTTTCTTTCTTTCTTACTTTATATTAATTTGCATTAATTTTTATCTTCTTGTTTACAAGTTTTAATAAAAAATATATACAAAAATAATTCCATTTTATATTCTCGTTAAAGAAGGTATACAAACTGAAGTTCTGGAAGAAGAAATTTTGGACAGCTTTACAGGTTAAAAACAAATCTATCTTCCATTAAAGATGAACAAATACAAGGCTTTTAAAATTGTATTAGTGGTAGCCAAAGCTACTTTTTAAGAATTCAATTTACCTAGAAATGTAATAAAATAATAAAACAAATTTCTGATATATTTCCTTTTCTCTTGCAAACCATAGACTTTGTGGAGATACTGGATTACAGCTCTAGGAGCCAGAACATTGAAAAAAGCTGGCCTGGGCATCAGAAAAAGAAAAGGCTGCTAATACATTTGCAGTTGCCATCCATTATAACTGCAGCAGCTGTTGCAAACACTGTAGCAAAACATTTGGGGAAAAAATGAACTACTTCCATTGCTAATATTTAGCTTCACCTTGAGAAACTGAAAACATATGTTTTTCTCTGAGATACAATTTGTGAAATAGTATCTTATCCCTACCCCCAGTAGAGAATTGTGAAGGCCATTTGTGCACAGCATTTATCTCTGTGGTATTTCTAGTATGACAAATGTTCTTTACAGAGAGGACAAGTTACAGTTGCTGCTTTATACATAACCCACATTGGCTTCCAATTTGTTTCTATGCACAATTCGAAGTGCTGGGTATTATCTACTAATACCTAAATCACTTGAGACCAGCTTATTTGAAGGACCATCTTTTCCCACAGGTATCTGCCTGTAATCTGAATTCAGCATATGAGGATCTGCTTCATAGTCATCTTAAAAAAAATGGCTGGTAAGTATATAAATGAACATTTTCATAATGTTTTCTTTGGTTTCATCTCTCCATACAATTTTGATTGTTTTCTTCTTCCTGTTGCTTACTGTGATATCAGAACATTGTTTTCTTAGACATGGAACTTTAATTTCTGTCCTGCTGTGTTATTTTTGGTTTAATCCATGGCAGCTGATACCCAGTGTAGTTGGTTATAGTGAGGACAAGTCACCTAACAGTTGGTAGAGCTAATTAACAAAGCACAGTTATTTGAATCCATGATTTTGCAATAGAAAAGAAACCAATTTCAGAAAAAAAGGTTAATTGATGCTGCCTTTTTGTTTAGAGGTGTATTGCCCATTTACCCATCTTTCATAAACTTCCAGTTTATACATGCACACATATTAAAGCTTGTGTATATACCTATGCACACTGCAATCAGCTGTACATAAACACGCAAATAAAACTTTCAAAATTATTTGTTTGCTACTGACACAATAGTTTTAAGTATCCTTTTTATGAATGTGGGGCTTGGACACAAGTTGTCTAAGAAAATGAGCACAAATCCTATAATCCATATTTGTCTTACACCAACACAGCCGCTTTCATACGCGCTGACTCCCTGACTCTCCACAATTACCATTAGATTTATCTTTTCTGCATCTGTTTTGAAGCCATCCAGAGGTCATCTGGATTTCAAGCATACTAGCACTATAGGCAGTCTCACCGACTCTTCTAATGCAAACATTATATGATCTGGCTACGCAACATGTCCAAACCTCCATTAGAGATGAACCTTTTGATGTCCAGTACATATGCTGATGACCTATCACAGACAATATAGAATTTTACAATATACCATTGGCAATCAGGAGGAGCTCATGGAATTTTATTTTATTTTCTCAGTACATTTTTCAATATAGACTCATAATGCACATATTTATTGGGACCAGGGTTATATCTGCTTTAATACCTGGGATGCAAGCCTCAACCACTCATTATTCTTCAGCAAGTGTGCCCCCTTACTTGCTTGCCAAATATGCAGACTGTGCTGATGTGCTTTGAAAAGGAGAAGCACAGACCAGTTCCCCACTGATTTGGTGACTGCACAATCAATCTTATTCCTGGAGCCTAGCTTCCTACAAAACACCACTAGCCAATGTCAAATCAAAACTTTCTTGCTTGAAGGAAATTATCAACTATAGTTTTTTCAAAGATTTATAAATCATATTAATTTTGTGGATAACTTTTTATTGTGTAGCAAGATGATTTGCTGATTGAGAAGCTCATTATTGCCTCTGCAAGGGCAGATATCAATTCCTATGTTGTTTCTTGCTCCACTTGTCACTCTGCCAAGTCTCTGGCCAGTAATCTCTTTGGACTATAGAGTAGTCTCCTCCTCTCCTCCCCACAGAGATCTTGGGATCCAGTTATTGAGCTTTACTATACATTTTCATGTGTCTGAGGCCAACATGATATTGAAAAGTTATTGATTTTTTAAAGATTCTTCATTTTTTCCCCAGACAGCTTATCTGTACATTTTCTTGGATCACAGCTTATTCAATCACATTATCTTTGTCAGAGGTCCAAGTTCAATAGAGGTTTTTAGAACACTTCAATTCAACTTTTGGAATGCAACACTCTACCTGTCCTCTACTCATAATTCAGAGTCAGATGAATAAATAAAGAGTATAATGTTACAAATGAAGGCAAATATACATGTTCCAGTATAATGTTTCAGGATCCAATCTGGGTTGGTCACTGGGACCAGAAGTTTAGTCTACCAAGCTTTTGGACTCGTGATGTAGCCCATCCTCAGGGAACTTCTCTATCACATTCTGGTGAGACAGAAGTTTCCTGAGGGTGGGCACCAGCCCAATCTGAAAGCTTGGAAGACTAAACCTCTGGTCCCAGTGACCAACCCAGATTGGACCCTGCAGTATAATGTTACCTCAGAGCAGTCGGCTTAAACCTTTTTTAGGTCATGGAATTTGTTCATTAAAACAAAACTCCCAGAGCTCTTGATCAAGATAGGTGGGGCTTATGAATGTCAGAAGGGCATTGCAAATGAATGTCCTGAAGAATCGTGTCAAAATGGGAACATTGAGTGTACTTGAGCTTTCCCTCTACTTAATCCCCTGTAGAGAATTTTTCCCTCTTAATCCTGGTTAGGATAAAGGTGGAAAACACACAAATGCACACAGTTATACACTTCTGCTTCTGCTTTATTTCTTCAGGGGTATTTATAGCAATCTTTCTAAGTAATTAAGTGAGGGAGGAACTCTTTTCACAAGGGACTAAGGCAGAGAGGGAGTGGGGGAAAGCCCCTTTTCAAGAGACCAATGCTTAATCCCCTATGGAGATTAAAGAAAGTTTTTTTCTTCCTTTACCATAACACCTATTCAAATCCTTACCAAACTCTTAGGTTCCATGCAATTCAGTTTGACCCTCCAAACTTAAAATAATTTCATTTTTGTCTAAACTATCAGCAAGAAGCTGATCTAATCCTTTACTTAAGATTGGGTTTATTGACAATGATTCAGTTCATGCTTCAAATATTTAATGACTATCACCAAAACATAGTGATGAATGCTTCTAGGCCTTCCCTCATTTCAGAGACTCCCCCCTCCCCAGGAACTTAAAGCCATTCAGCACCTTCTTACAGATCACACCAAGGCTTCATAACAGCACACATTCCATTGACAAAAATCCACCCTCCATTGCAGTAGATCACATCTGGCTTTTAATCTAATTTCTTCCATCCTGAAAATCTGGGTTCTATGTCTGTTGTACTTTTCTTCAACCAGTTGTGATTAACTGTTGCAAATTAAGTCTTTTTACTTTACAAAAATATGCTTCTACTACTTTGGGCCAATTTTTTTATTTTTTTTTCCTCTTGAAACATTTGGTTGTACTAATTGGAGCCAAATGTTGATCTTGTTCAAAGTGATAATGTGCTCCTGCTCCATATTGCCAAAATTGATTTTTGCCCATGTGAAATTGCTTCTACTCAAAGCTGCCAAATTTTGTGTGATTGATTTCAATCTGAGGTGAACACATCATTTAGTTGAGTCCATAGCTACTTCTGATAGTTAATGACAACCAGCTCTTACATGGAAACTACCTCCTACTGGGAAATTTTATTATACTGACTCCTGATTTATTGTTTTTTTCTTCCCTGCTCTCATATTCAATTAAGTTGGATTTTATTGTATTGCATGTATTACATTTTAAAAGTCTGCCTTGGTATACATTTGTAGGATCAAAATGCAGCATATAAATGACATACAATAAAGTAAATCTTAACCTTGAAAAGCTTGTGGTATTTCCTAAGAAGCTAACTTGTTGAAATACCAACTTATCTTCAGACTAAGACATCATAACATGATTCATATCTGAGTTGGCTATAACTTTGTGATTTCAGTTCATGATTCATTCTGAATAGTTAAAATTAGTAATGATCCACATAGTAATAGTAGTAAAGTTGGAAGGGACCTTGGAGGTCATCTAGTCCAACCCCCTGCTCGGGCAGGAAACCCTACACCATTTCGGACAAATGGCTGTCCAGTCTCTTCTAAAAACTTCCAGTGTTGGAGCATTTACTGCTTCTGGAGGCAAGCTGTTCCACTGATTAATTGTTCTCACTGTCAGGAAGTTTCTCCTTAGTTCTAGGTTGCTTCTCTCCTTGATGAGTTTCCACCCGTTGCTTCTTGTCCTGCCTTCAGGTGCTTTGGAAAATAGCTGGCAGCCCGAGATATTGGAATACTGCTATCATGTCCCCCCTTGTCCTTCTCTTCATTAAACTAGACATACCCAATTCTCGTGTTTTAGCCTCCAGTCCCCTAATCATCTTTGTTGCTCTTCTCTGTACTCTTTCTAGAGTCTCAACATCTTTTTTACATCGTGGTGACCAAAACTGGATGCAGTATTCCAAGTGTGGCCTTACCAAGGCATTGAAGAGTGGTATTAATACTTCACGTGATCTTGATTCTATCCCTCTGTTAATGCAGCCTAGCACTGTGCCTTTTTGGCAGCTGCAGCACACTGCTGGCTCATATTTAAGTGATTGTCTACTAGGACTCCGAGGTCCCTCTCACAGTTACTACTATTGAGCATGGTGCCACCTATGCTGTACTTGTGCATTTGGTTTTTCTTGCCTAAATGTAGAACCTTGCTTTTTTCACCATTGAATTTCATTTTGTTAGTTAGTGCCCAGTGTTCAAGTCTGTCCAGATCCTTCTGTATCTTAAGCCTGTCTTCTGGAGTGTTGGCTATTCCTGCCAGCTTGGTGTCATCTGCAAATTTGATGAGTTCCCCATCTATCCCTTCATCCAAATCGTTGATGAAGATGTTGAAGAGTACTGGGCCCAGAACAGAGCCCTGGGGCACCCCACTACACACTTCCCTCCATATAGATGCAGTTCCATTGAGGACCACTCGCTGAGTACGGCCGGTCAGCCAGCTACGGATCCATCTGGTGGTGGTTCTGTCTACCCCACATTTTTCTATCTTGTCAAGTAGTAGGTTGTGATCTACTTTATCAAATGCCTTACTGAAGTCCAAGTAAATTATGTCCACAGCATTCCTCTGATCCACTAATTTTGTCACTTGGTCAAAGAATGCAATAAGATTTGTCTGGCATGATCTATTTTTGACAAACCCATGTTGGCTTTTAGTAATGACTTTGTTTGCCTCTAGGTGTTCGTTGATTCGTTGTTTGATTATCTTTTCCAGGATCTTCCCAGGTATTGAGGTCAGGCTGATAGGTCTGTAATTTCCTGGATCCATTTTTTTTCCTTTTTTGAGGATGGGAACTACATCAGCTCTTTTCCAGTCCTCTGGTAGTTCCCCTGTGTTCCAGGATCTTTGAAAAATATAGTTCAGTGGCTCCGATATCACATCTGCCAGTTCCTTGAGAACTCTGGGGTGTAATCTCTGGTCCTGGCGATTTGAACTCATCTAGGCTGGACAGGTGCTCACTAACGATTTTCTTGCCTATCTTAACTTGTGTTTCTGTTTTG